GACAACGGAGAAGGCGAGAAAACGATTGACCATCACATCGCCCCAAAGCGGCACGGTCATCTCCCGGCTGAAGGTCGAAGGCGACTATGTGAAGACGGGAGACCCGATCTACCGCATCGCGGACCTCTCGACCGTCTGGCTGATGCTCGAACTCTACCCGAGCGACGCCGCTCAGGTACGGTACGCTCAAGAAGTCGATGTCGAGTTGTCGTCGGAGCCCGGCGTAATCTTCCCGGGGCGCGTCGCGTTCATCGATCCAGTCGTGAGCGCAACGACGCGGACCGTCCAGGTACGGATTGAGCTGTTCAACTCGGACGGGCGCTTTAAGCCGGGAGACTACGCAACCGCGAAGCTACGCCTCCCCGCGATCCAGGGCGACACCGTCTATGACGCCGCGCTCGCCGGCGCCTGGATCAGCCCGCGCCACCCCCAGATTGTCCGGGAGGAACCTGGGGCGTGCCCCCTCTGCGACACGCCGCTCGTTCCGGCAAGCGATTTTGGGTACGCAGCGAGACCCACCGCAAACGCGGGGTCAGTCACGGTGCCCCGCTCCGCGATCCTGCTGGCGGGCGAGAACTCCGTCGCTTACGTGGAAGCCAACGAGGGGGAGTTTGAACTCCGCAACGTGGTCGTCGCCGCTCTGACCCCGACCGAAGCGGCTCTCGCCGGAGGCATCGCTGAGGGCGAGGTGGTCGCCACCGACGGCGCCTTCCTCATCGACTCGCAGATGCAATTGGCCGGGAAGCCATCGCTAATTGATCCGTTGCGAGGTGACCCACCGGCGACGCCAACTGCTGGGGAGACGCAACATGCTCACTAAGGCAATTCGATTCTGCGTGAGCGAAGCGTGGCTCGTGGTCGTCGTGGCCGCCTGCTTGGCGGCGTTCGGTTGGTGGTGCTTCCTTTCGGTTCCGATCGACGCGATCCCCAACGTCGGCGAGAACCAGGTCATCGTCCTGACAAACTGGCCGGGGCGATCGCCAAAAGATGTCGAGGATCAGATCACCTACCCGCTCAGCAGCGTTCTGCTGGCGACACCCGGCGCCGAGAGCGTCCGTGGCAAGAGCATGTTTGGCTACTCGTTCGTCCAGGTGACGTTCGAGGACGGCGTCGATTTCTACTGGGCGAGGAGCCGTGTCTCTGAGCAGCTCGACGCGGGCCGAGCACTCCTCCCCGAGGGCGTAACGCCTCAGCTGGGGCCGGACGCCACCGGGCTCGGCCAAATCCTCTACTACGTTCTGGAACCCCCACCGGACGGCCGTAGCCTTGCCGAGCTGCGATCCCTACAGGACTACGTCCTGAAGTACGAGCTCCAAGCCGTGGAAGGGGTGAGCGAGGTCGCGTCGATCGGCGGGTACGTGCAGCAGTACCAGATCGAGGTCGATCCCGACCGCCTCCGTTTCTACGGCGTCACGCTCGACCAGCTGCTGATGGCGGTCCGAGGGTCCAACCTCGATGTCGGCGCGAAGACAGCCGAAGCGTCGGGGATGGAGTACATCGTTCGCAGCAAAGGTTTTGTAGGCGGCGGCGCCCAAGGCGACGCGCTGATCGACTTGGAACAAACGGTCGTTGTTCAGCGAGATGGCGTACCCGTGAGGCTCCGGGACGTGGCCCAGGTCCAGATAGGCCCCGACTTCCGTCGGGGCGCCCTCGACTACAACGGTTCCGAAGCGGTCGGCGGAATTGTGGTGATGCGTTTCGGGGCTAATCCCCGGGCGGTTATCGACGCGGTGAAGCAAAGGATCAGCGAGCTTGCCCCGTCCCTGGACGGAGTCGGCGTCAACCCGGTTTACGACCGCACCGGCCTGATCGATGAGACAGTCACCACCCTCAGCGAGTCGCTACGCGACGAGACCCTCATCACCGTGGTGGTGATCGTGCTCTTCCTCTTGCACGTGCGGGCCAGCTTCGTCGTTGCGATCACGTTGCCCTTGGCGGTCGTGATGTCGTTCATCGGCATGTGGGGTTTCGGGATCGACGCCAACATCATGTCGCTCGCTGGGATCGCAATTGCGATCGGAGAGGTGGCGGACCTCGCGATCATCGTTTCGGAGAACATCTATCAACACTTGGTGGATTGGCGCAACAAGAAGGGCGACGACGCTAAGCAGACCCGCGCGGAAGTCATCATCGCCGCCGCCGCCGAGGTCGCACCCGCGGTCGTAACCGCCGTCTCGACGACGGTCATCAGCTTCATGCCGGTTTTCTTTCTGACGGGCCGCGACTACAAGCTCTTCGCACCTTTGGCCTACACCAAAACCTTCGCGATGCTCGCCGCGCTGGTGGCGGCGGTGTTGCTCACTCCCGCGCTGTGCCGTCTGCTGCTCGACTCCGGGCGGTGGTCCCGGCGGCGAAGCCTTTTCGTCGCCACGGCGGTGGGCGCTATTTCGGCAACCGTCGCGGCAGCTTTCTGGCGTGCTGGCTTCGAGCACATGCTCCCGTGGGGCCCCGTGTGGGGTCCGATTGCCCTCGGCTTTGCCGGGGGGGCGATCACCTACATCGGCTCGCGCGAGCAATTGCGTTCGGTCGATGAAAATCCTACCAGCCGGGCGATCCTCTTCATCTACGAACCCCTGCTGCGCTTCCTGCTGAGCCATAAAGGGCTGTTCGCCCTGGCGCCCGCCACACTGATGGTGTTGGGCCTTGGCGCGTGGATCGGTTTGCCGACCGTGCTGCGACCGGCAGAGACCGTCGCGGAGTGGCTCGGGGTTCGCCCCAACGAACTGCCCGGCTACGTGGACTTGAAGCACACCTTCACGGGGCTTCGGAGCGACGACTGGATCGCTCTGGACGAGGGGAGCTGGTTCTACATGCCCACCCTCTACC